CGCACATGCTTTTGCATTGGCACTAGGAATTAGGTGAGCCCATTGGGCAATATTAGGATTAGGATAAAACCTAATGCAGTCCTTTTTGACACTGCTTCCCCGGATTATTTCCGCAAGGATTTATCCGTCCCTCCCCAGGGGAATACGGACAACAAGGGCCGCGTACGAAGACGAGGACCGAAATTCGAAGAAGATCGGTCGAAGCACGATGTATGAAGCGTTGAGCGAAGTAGAAATCGCAGATTACACACCGCCCCTGGTCGAGCAGGCGCGTTACAAATGGCGAAGCGGTTCAATAACATGTGGTTCTAGTGTCGGCCCTCGCGGAGGAATGTCTTAAAAATGATCATCCAAACTCAATTAACCGAACAATAGGCAAATAACATATTGAATTCCCCCCAGTGGCAAGTACCCCGAAACCCCGGAGTAGTTACTGGGGCTTAACCCTAACCTAATCAGACAGCTGCTGGCAACCAACAACCTAACAAACGAATAGGATCGCACATAGGATATCCAACCTAATCGAACACTTGGATTCCTTCTTGGGAGGGGTTCATGGCTTCTGCGAATGGCAAATTCGCAACAAACCCCCCCAACGATTGCGTCTCGCCCAACGCAGTTGCCATCGCCTTGACTTGAGCATCGGATTTGTTGGAGCGCACGTAGCGCTTGATCTCAGTTGGAACGTCTTCCAACAATTTGGCCGCCGGCTCCCACGAGTCTTCAATGTCTTGTAGGCCGCGCCAGCGTACGCACACTTGAAACGCGATCGTTATAGCAGCACTCAGCTTTGAGTGCGAAATCGACCACACGTTCATGTAAAGCACGAAATCGCCCACGTCGAGCTGGGCCATTTCCGCGCCTTTTTTCTTCGATCTTCTTTCACGGTTTTTCTGACGTTTTCTTGTCGAAGCGTCCAACACTGTCGCATGAATCTTGTCCAAGGCGGTTGCCATCGCTGCCATGTCGCCGTTTCGCCACGACCGCAAGTCGTCTATCGTCGTAACTATTTTCGCCGCCGGAATTGGAATGACATCCAAGGGCGACATCAGTCGGCTACCCGTCATGGCAGTTATCCGTGCTGCACCACCGAGTGTGTCGGACGGACTTTGGTTGAGGACCAACATCACCACTGGGACAATCAGCCGTCACTGGTCTGGCTGCATCAACCACTCGGACAGGAGTGCTCGGAACGCCTTGAAGGTCGTCATCATGCCCACGCACATCTGACCGTGGTAAAATGATGATGTGCCCCCAGAACATGCTTGAGCTCGGCAATCACCTCGTTCTTGAAGTGGGATCCCTGGTCACTCACCCAGTGATAACACACGCCAAAAACGCTGAACCACTGTAGCAAACAACGCCCCACAACTTGCGCGTTCGCCACGTTGGATTCCCACAACCACTTGAACTGGCTGAAATCGTCCTTGACCACAAGATGTAGCCACCATCCATGTAGAGAAAACCCCAATGAAGGATTTCATTGGGCTTTGTAGCATGCGCCGTTGCACTAAACCGGCGCAAAACATGGCCACCCATACTGGCACAATGCAAACAACGGCCCACAAAGTGCGCCACGTCCGAGGCAATGTCGGACCACCAAAATCGATCCACCAGGATCTGCTTCGTCGCGTTGATACCACGGTGTCCTCCCACACCAAAATGCGCGACCACACACAACCGCATCTGCAGGTCACTGGCAGACGTCGGAATCCACACCGCTCCAGTGGCGGTCTTGAGCACTGGCACGTCGTTGTCGCCCACTTCCACCTGGTGTTCCACCAGCTCAGCGACAGGAAATTCCCCGTTTCAAACGGCTTCGACTTGAGCATCCACGATCTCGGCCATAGTTGGCCAAATGAATTCGCCTTTTCACAACGGCGAAATCTGTAACGGCACGTGCACGATAGGGCGGATCAGATTGGAATGTGTGCCCCATCGGGACAACATATTCGCCCACACGTTGCCATCACCAGAGATGTCATAAATGGTGTAATCGTACCCCGTGAGTAGTAGCGCCCAGCGAAGTAGCGCCCAGCGATCGAGTTTCGCTGCGCGATCGCGGCGTTCACCCTGGTCGGGTTGAAAATGAACTTGAGGTTTGCGTGTTGTCAGTGAACAACGCAAATCCACCGGGCTTGTGGAGCAGGTAGTCTGCACGCTTCAGACACTCCACGATCGAGAACGCCTCTTTCTCGATGATTGCCCATCGTTGCGAGGCTCCAGAAAATGCGCCCTCAGAACATAAGCGGCTCATGCTCTTGAGCGTCCAACTCACGATCCACTTGATCGTACGGAATTTGCGTAACCACGCCGCCCCAGTGTAAATCGCTGGCGTCTGCAAACACACAAATAAGGCAGTCGGCCTTCGGATGCGCCAACGTCACCACGCAGCCAAGGGCTTCCTTGCAGCTTGTAAGGCACACTTAATGGCTAGTGATCGGCCGACAAAATCCGACCGCACCAACGCGCTTCGGTCTGAAAGAACCGACACTTCTTCGGATTGAGCTTAAGTCCGCGCGACTCACAGATCACCAGCACGCGTTCGAGCGCCGTCAAGAGGCCTTACTTGGACTTCTCGTATCCAAGCAGGTCATCCAACCAGATCAAAAGCGATCGATACAGCTCGCTCTCGAACTTCTCTTGCACCGCAGCCTGACAGACGGTCACGCTGCCGGTGCCGTCCATGAGAACACGCGTCGGCGTGTACACACACACACACCCATGTCCGTAAGGAACGAGAACATTTCCTGCGACCTCACATCCAACGCAAACTGCCAATAACCCTTGAGAAAGTCCAGGGTAAAGAAAACCACCGCTCCGGAGAGGTGATCGAGGATAACCTCTAAGATGAGCATCGACCAAATGATGCGCTCCGTCTGGGCATTCACAGGACGGACATCGACGGTCATGCGAAAGTCGTTCGCTTCGGGCTTCTTGACGATCAGCGGGGCCGAGCACCTCTTCGACCGAGGGTTTCGGTAAGCTAAACCCGCCGCTTGTAACTCTTCGACGTGCTTGGCCATAAACTCGCGCTGCTCTTTCGAGTAACGCCGCGCCTTGCATCACACCGGTTCCGCACCAGACTTTAACGTAACATTGAGAGGTGCCACGTCCACCGGCGGATCTCGGCCAAGGGACAGCCGAAACACATCTTCATAACGCAATAGCAGCGTCCCCAGCGCTGTAGCGAACTCCTCGCCACACCCTGCGGCACGACATTCGCTGACCTTCTCCTTCAGCTTCGCATGCACGACTTCTTGGTCAGAATCCTTCGACCAATCAGCACCAACTTCAGGGAAACATGGCCGCTCTCCGTCATGATTGACAAAGTAGGTTTCTCCTTCGTCTCGACCACCTTCATCCCCGCCATCTGCGGCGTTTCTTTGTCGCCCAATCGGTCCAGGTCGTACACACTTTGCGCACGCCGCGCATTCAGTAACAACGAACGCGGACAATATCCGAGCTTCGCCATCACTTCTCACCTGACAATGAGGTCGCCCAGACCTTCTTGCAATGGCGTCGCCGCCACCGAACAGTTGAGGTTCGCTAACACCATGGTACCTTCGGCCGTTTCGAAGGTCAGGCATAGCTTGACATCGTGGTCCACTTGGAGCTTCATGCCTTCGAGGAAACCGTCCAGCTCTATGGCGGTGTCCAACAGTCGGACCGCCGACGGAAAATTACCAGTCACTTTGAGACGTGATAAAAACGTCGGCGACAGCACAGACTGGTCGGCACCACTGTCTAGTAGCGTTGTCACCTTGAGTCCGTTGATAGCGCATTCTAACGTGCGCAGTACCGGCACCGCCGTCGTTTCGCCCATATCGACGGCCGCGCCCACCACCTTAGGCTTGACCTCGTCTCTCCTGTCCGGCGCTGCCACAGCCGCGACTTGGGGCTTCTTGAACAGCTGATGTAAGAGGCGCTGAGCCTCGCCCAGCGGACACTTCGGGCACTTCAGGACCTTGTGGTCTTCGCTACCACACCTCAAACAGCCCTTCGTATGCGGGGCGCCAGTTGCAGGCCTTGCCGAAGGCCGGGGTTGCGCGCCAGGTTCCGATTTTTGGGCCGCTTGCTGGCGACGTTGTTTTTCGCCATACATACGCTGCCGATCCGAAGCAAATAATTGCGACTCAAACAACATGAAATTGTTGAGTAACGACACCAGCCACCGACAAAACGCCTTGACGTCGGTCTTGTACGCCATATTAACCTCGCGCGTCAGTTGACGCTCCACAGTTGCCTTCAATTGCACCTGACGAATCGATGCCATCAGGATCTTGGCCGACTGCTTCGGTTCCTGCTCCGGCGGGTGGGCCACGTCCAGCTGCTCTAACTTCTGGTAGAAGTCAGCGAGCAGACGTCCAACTCGGGACTCCGCATCCCGAATCTTCGTGTCCATCTTGAGCGACGCCATCGCTTTCGCCACAGCATCCAGGTCCAACTTTGGACTTCACGCGCCGATAAAAAGTAATCACACCAGTCGTTTTCGGTAATTTCTTCAAACGACTTGCCAAAATCGTACGCACAGGCATGTCACGGGGTGAAAGGAAGAGACTTTCCAACGGCCTTTCCTGGTAACAGTCGTGTCCATTGTTACCGGATCATCATCCCACGGTACCTCTGGGACTAATCTGGGTCGAACCCGTTACTCCCGGTACCATCAACGGCCTGATCCCTGAACCTCTCAAAGTGTTCTGATTACTCTTTGAACATCGGAAAGACACCTCAACTTAGATAGCTAACCTTGACTTTCACTTTTGCCTTACTCTACACGCTTGTGTCTTGTGTTTCGCTCACTCGCGCCGCGCCTACCTTCGTCAAATAGTCAGCAACTCCGTGGCATTCTGGCGGAGCAGCAGGGTAGGCGTTTGCAAAAGGAGCGAAAAGAAAAAAAAGTGAGGAAGATGTCAACGGACGAACAACCGACTTTGACGGTACGCCAGTCGCGGCGCCTCGCGGGAGTTGCCCCGGAATACGGACTACTGGACACAAGACGTTTGACGCACCAGTCCTCGACCCCAGAACCTGCGCAACTAGACGATCACACCGATCTGCCAACGTCGTCCCCGGAACGCAAGCGAGAAGCCGAAGGCTCTCCCCACGTGTCGCCGTCGACGAACAGCCCCGACACGCGTCCCCCGCCGAAGAAACCAGCACTGGCCCCGGGTGCTGACTCGGCTCCTGAGCCTTTGTCACCCCATGCCGGGATTGGTATCGATGGTTGGAACTCCTTTGACGAAACACCAGTAAGCCTATTGGAACCTAGTCCAGCTACCAGAAACACCCCCATGGTCCAAGGAACGCCCGGCAGCATGGTTTCAAGAACGTTTACACCTACCTGGGACGGTCCCAGTGTACCCCGAAATGTTGTTGTCACGACGATAGCCACAACGCTTATACCGAATTCACACGCGACATTGTCAAGAAGCAGGAATTGGAAGCTTTGCGCTTCTTTCAGAAAGCCCATGACAACCGATCTCGGCTGCTGGACGACCGGGAAACTCGACTCGTAGAAATGGCCGAATTAGCGGCGCAGGCGGCTGAAGCTCATGAAGCCTACCGTCAGGAACAGTTCAAGGAGGCTTTGGGGTACCTCCAGGAATGCTACTAACGAGAACTGGACCTCGCTAGGTGTGTGGCCGGAAACAAGGCAAACGAAACCTTGAGTCAGGGGATTGAGAAAAGCAACAAGCTACGTGGGAGGCCCGGATGCTACGCTTCCAGCAGAACCTGGAACTCACCTGGGATAAGGAAAGGTCGTTACTCCTGCAGGACAAGGAAGTTTCGTTGCTCGCTGTGAAGAACCAACACACAGACGAACTTCTACGAGTGTCGCCGGAAGCGGAACACACTATCGAGGTCCGACGCATGGAGGACGGAGTGATCCTCAACCAACTCCAAGAGGAGCTCACGAAATCCAGGCCCTCGTGAAAGAAGCCCGTCGAAGCCGCGAGGCCCAGGAAACTACCTTGGATAAGTTGCGTTCTCAACAAAATCAAGAGCTGATATCTCTACGGACGGAACTGCGATCGAAGTCTCTAGAATTCGACGCCTCCCAGTACCCCTCGGCACGTTAGCCTGCGGAACGGAACTGCGGAAATTGCCCCATCCTGGAGCAGGAGAAGTGCATCCTCGCGGAAAGACTCCGACTCCAGGAAGAACAACTCCGCGAGACTGATCGGCAGAAAGAACGTTTCGAGCAACTCTGGGGAAAGGGGCGTCGTCTACTCCAGGAGTCCGAACAACGTACGCTGGTCTCGCACGAAGCACTGAACAACGCCCAGGCCCGGGTTCAGGAAAGTGAGACCCGAGGGTCTCAACTCCAGGAACAACTCCTAAATGTTAACATTCGGTATGAACAGGAGCTACAAGAGGAGCAGATCCTACGCGAGGAAATGGAAAGGGATGTCCAAGAACAACTGCAAGCACTGACGTTGGATCGTGACTCGGAGGAACGGATTGTAGTAGCTCAAGAAAGGGTGGAGCTCATTAAGTCGCGGGAAGAACACGAAGCAAACCTACAAAAGGTGTCAGACGCTCAGACACGATTGGGGCTGAACACGACCCTCCTGCTCCTGCGGGAAGAAGAGCTAACTATCCTCCGGGAAAGGGAGGCTTTCGCTCAGGAAGTCAACAAATCCTACTCGAACCTTCGTCGGCAACAGTCTTCATTACAAGTGAATCAGCAAACGTTGGCCTTGCAACTTCAGGAAGGCCAACTCCGATCAGGATCGGTCGGGACTCCCTATGCGACACCCGTTTCTTCCCTGAAAGGCTCCCCTTTGACGTTATGGAAGTCATTCGACTTTCATGACGTCATCAGTGCTCCAGGCCCCTTACTCAATGGTGGATACACTTCAACGGGCAATGGGCCCTATCCCGGTGTTTATGCAACAAACCGAGGTCGCTACGGAAACCATGTCGGGTGCCGACAGGTGTCTATGGCCGTGCTATGGCTTCTCAAAAGCCGTTCATGCCCGAGAGACCAAAGCAACGAGCACCTCCCGAGTACATATCCCAGAACTCGTACGGGATGCGTGGACACAGTAACCGAACACACCTTACTTCACACCAGCCCACGGAGACCAGGGCGGTGCATTCGGTGGAGGATTTAGCACCCCTCCCGGTCCTCCGTCGTACCCAACTCCGGGGGGGCCTGGGGGGCACAACCCCTTCGAACGCACTGGAGGCCGAGGAGACCCCCCCGGACCTCCTAGAGGAGGCGGACCTGGATGTGGCGGCGATGATCATGGGGGTAGAGGTGTACCCAGATTTCCGTACGCGCCCCGGCACGATGACAATGGGGACCGTCCTTCCCGTTCCGCTTATGCTGACGCACGAAAATACGCACCTAAACTGAAATGAGTGGACAGCGCCATCCCTTTGGAACACTTCCTTATAAAACTACCGTTCTACACAGACGACGCCCTGGCGACACAAAGAACGGTCGCCCATCTCAAACGTGAGGACCCGCGGGAACCACCGGCACATAAAGCCCATGAACCCGCGCCTTCGGCTTCACTACACAACTCACCGGCCAACTTGTCCACTGTCCACCCCACTTCCACGGTCTATGTCAAAAGTAACTTCCCATGGCTTGTCTTATGCCGCATCTCACTATCCACAGCAGCGCAGGAAACAAGGACGAAACCAGGCAAGGAAGAGATCCAAATTGACTGGAAGGATTCCAGCCTGAGCCTCGAACAGAAAGAACTCCTCCGAAAACTCCCCCTGCGCTTCGACCTCTTCGTCTCGATATCAAAAGCCCCGGGAAGGTCTGACCTGACCAAATGCCACATAAAAACCGGGGATGCGAGCCCTATCAAACAAGCGCCATTCTGAATGACCCAAAGGGAGGGAGAGATCATGGAAGCAGAAATCAAACAGCTCCTGGAGCTTGGACTGATCCGACAATCCACAAGCCCGTGGTCCAGTACTCATGATCAAGAAGCCGGACGGCCCCATCCGGTTCTGTATCGACTACCGACGGCTCAACGACGTCACGATCAAAGATTGTTACCCAATGCCTCGAGTAGATGATCTCTTGGATGTTCTGGGCAAATCCAAGTTCTTCACAACCATGGACGTGGCGTCGGGATACTGGAGCGTGCGGATGGCTGAAGAAAGCGTCGAGAAGACAGCCTTCACCTGCAAGTACGGGCTGTACGAATGGCTAGTCATGCCCTTCGGACTGTGCAACGCAGTGCCTCAGTTCGAAAGACTCATGCAAGGGGTCCTCCAGGAATACTTGTGGCGCATCTGCTCGGTCTACCTGGACGACATCATCATCTTCAGCGAGGACTTTGGCGAACATCTAGTGCGCTTATCCCAAGTCCTGACACGCCTCCAAGATGCCGGGTTTAAACTGAAAGCGTCCAAGTGCCAATGGGGAAGGGATATCATCACCTCGGAGGCATCTTACCCAAGCCTGAAAAAGTCAAAGCTGTGCCGAGGATCAAACCCCTGAAAAACGTGGCTCAAATCCGATCCTTCCTGGGACTCGCCGGCTACTTCCGGATATTCATCAAGGGATACGCCCTACTCTCGCGACCCTTGGAAAAACTTGAGGTGGCTGACGAGTTCGAATGGTCCCCGAAATGCCAAACCTCTCTGGATAATCTGAAGAGAAAGCTGGCCAGCCCAGATCGAATGTTACGGGTTGGTGTGGGCCGCGACCAAGTTCAGACCCTACCTCGACCGGGGACACTTCACGGTCTACGCGGATCACGCGGCCCTAGTATGGTTATGCAAGACCGGATCGAAGTCCGGGAACGGGAAGTTGGCCCGGTGGGCCGTGCACCTACAAAACCTGGATTTCACGGTGGTCCATCGACCTGGAGCACAGTTGGGTGCGCCGATGACCTGTCACGATTCCCCATAGATTCTCCGGACGAAGCCAACCCGAGCGCTGGATGCAGAGACCGAAGACTTCTCACCCATGCCCCTACCGACAGGGGGTCCCCGAGTGTGCTCCATAGCCTCGGAAGTAGTGGGAGCAGTCACAAGGAGTCAAGCCCGCGCGTCAGGACACCCCCATGAGTCCCCGGAAGCAAAAGCGATAAAAGAAGTGAACCCCAACCCCAGAACTTCTAACCGTTGCCCCGACGGCGGAACTCCCTTCCCAGGGAGTTTGGAGGATTCCCTAGTCGGTGGGGGGCTCGCTCCGGTAGCCGAAGCGGACAGGGAATCGCCCCTGAAACTGCCTCCGTACCGCGACGACACGTACGTTCTGCCGGACCGAGTACTACGTAAGGAACAGGCACGGGATCTGTTCACCATTTCCATGAAGGCGTACCTCGAGGACAAGGCACTCCCCTTGGAAGAGTGGCTCATGAAGGTGGTAACCCGGACGTCCGAGCATCACGAAGTGAACGACCGAGTACTCTATCGGAGGGTGATCTTGAAGTCCCCAAGTTGAATCTAGTACCGGTAATTCCGATCTCGATGACGACCGACGTCCTGGCGCTCTGCCATGACTCCCCATAGTCAGGCCACTTCGGAAGAGAACGGACCCTTGGAAAGGGTACGACGAGTTGGGTACTGGCACCGACGGGGCGAGGACGTCCGGGAGTACTTCATCTGTTGTGTCCGATGTGGTGCCGCCAAGGGCACGAGACCCTGGAAGCAAGGACGACTGCAGTGGATGCCTGTGTACGGCCTCAGGGGCCCGTTCAGTTTCGTCGTGGTCGACGCGCTCGGCCCCTTACCGACCACCCCCGGAGGAATCAAGTTCATTTTGGTGTTCATGGATTACTTCACGCGTTGGGCGGAGGCTATCCCGGTCCCGGATCTCAAGACCACTACCTTCGTGACCGCGTTGATAGACAACGTGATATGCCAGCATGGGGTCCCGGACAAGTTGCTGTCGGATCGCGGGTCGAACTTTGTGTCGAAACTCGCCGAAAACCTCTACCAGACCCTGGGGATCGAGAAAGTGGCTAGCGCCCCCGGACATCCTCAGGGACAGGGGCTGGTGGAACGATTTAACTCACACTGGCCACGATGCTGAAGATGTACGTAAATGCGGCCCACACGGACTGGGATGCTTACCTGCCACGGCTACTATGGGCCCATCGTACCGCCCACCAGGAGATACTCCGTTCTTCTGCATGCACGGGAGGGATCCCGTGCAGCCCCTCCACTTAGCTTTTGCGAAGCAGGAGCCGCTTTGGAAGTCGGAAGAACTCCCATAGTGGCGCCGGAAACAGAGTTCGTGTTTCACAACCACTCGGAAGCTAGTGGAAGCTCAGTTACTCCAAGGGCAGAACCGAGACGCTATCTCACGAGACAGTCAGCGGAAGGTTGACTTCCAGCCCGCGGATTCCGTATGGGTCTACCAATACTTCCATAAAAAAAGACGACAAACCCTGACGACCTCCGAGTCCGAAAGTTCGCCTACCACTGGCACGGACCCTACCGAATCCACTGTCGACAAGGGGATACCACGTACCGGATTTACTTACCTACCCACCCCGACCGGGTCGTCCCTATCAACGTAGACCACCTCAAGGATTTCTGGGGTTATTGGACCCGCCCGATTAACGACGAGATCCCGGAAGGATATCAAGAGACTGATGGCTCCTGGGAGGAGGCCTGCGACGTCCTTTTGGACGACGAACTGCTCCCAGACTCGAGCTTCATCGACCGCCTTGAGTTCGCCGACGGAGACGTGGCGTACACGAACACCCCAACGCCCATTGTCAAGGTCCTGGACAAAAGGCGCACGGTGCCCCGGGAGCCTGAATACTTGGTACGACACGGGATAGCGAAACCCATTGGACACCACGATCTCAGCTTATGGACTACGAGTCGTTCATCTCGGAATATGAGAACCTGGTACGCTCCCACCAAGGCCTTCCTACCCTACGTCGCAGTCCCAGCTTAGCGGAACTCGATGTGGAGGCCGTAGTTCGCCAGTACTAGCTACTCCGCCCGTCGGCCCGACCCTTTTTTCGAGGTTCCGGGAAGACTCAAAACACTGCATTATATAAGACCCGGACTATTCTCGCCGTCCCGGGAAACTCAAAGGTCAACGGCCACCGTCTCCTCATCCGTGTCTGTAGCGGAGTCGGACAACAAGTCCACCATTTCCGGTGCCGAGAACGTACTCTGAACCCCGGACGCTGAAAACGTCGTTGGCGCGCCGGACGTCGTGGCCGTTTTCGGTACTCCGGTGGTGTTGGGAAGTGGGGGCGTATACCCCATGGGGGGAATGCCCGCTGGACGCGGCATACCACGAGCCCACTGAGACCCTTCGGGGGGATGCGAACGGTCGTCCACCACGAACGGGAAACGCCCCTGATAGACAGGAAACGCCCCTGATAGACACCGGCGAGTCGGCACTCTTTCGCCTGGGCATATAACCACGCCAACACTTTCGACACTCTCTCCCGGGAAGAGTTCGCCGGATTCAAGGGGTCACACTTCTTAAACCAAAACTCCCTTAGCGAGCACCCCTTGAGGAAGGCTAGAGTGGCCATGAAAGGGGATCGAACGGCTCGGTGCGAGAAGTGGACGGGACCTCCGGCCAAAATTCCGAGCCTTGAGATGACAGATAGTCCTGCACGGCTCGAGCACCCTAGACCGAGACCATCATCTTCAAAGAGACCCCGTCGCGAAGGAAGTCCGGCCAAAACGAATGGGGGTAACAAGAAGCGCAACAAGTCGATCCCATGGCGCCGGACGATGCGGTACAAGCATCCGATAATGCCCACCAATGTACCCATGGCCGCCTCAACCTCGGCATGTACTTCGGCCGACCCCCGCATGAAACGACGGTTCCAGTGCGCGAGGGCATGATTTCCCCAGAAGTCCTCGAGTTGTTCCTGGAGCTCCGCCCACAGCGGAAGTTGGCGCCCCGACGAGCGTATAAACGACTCTTCCACCTTGTACTGCTCCCACGGCTTCGATAGCGCCACGGCCATATAGGTCGCATCGACGTCTCGGGGTAGATTCGGGTCCGTGGATGGTAAGGGAACGGCAGCGTGGACACGAGAGACTTTCCGTTTCCCGGGACGTCCTCCTGAGGCCGGGCGTTTCGCGGAACGCGAGGGGGATGGAGGTACGGGTCCCTTGGCACCCGCCGGACCTGAGTGGGTAGAACCCTTAGCCCCCGAGTCCGGAGGGGCCTCGACAATGTCCGCCCCCAATACTCCCGACGACGGCGCGGAAGCGCCGTGTAGTCCCGAGCGTCGTTCACCTCGGCGGTCATGACTTCCAAGGCCTGGTCTGTCTCTTGTACTCGTCTCTCCAGCTTGGTGGCCTTTTCCGTTTGGACCGTCAGCTGGCTCGCCAGGTCCCGGAGTTCTGCCTGCTGGTCGCTCAGCCTGGCCTGGGCTTGGTCGCGCTGCTCCCGGAGGTCGCGTTGTCCGTGCTCTAAGGACCAGAGCGACCCTTGAGCCTCTTGTAGCAAGTCGTTGGTCCAATCCCGTTCCGCGTGTGCCGTATCCAAGGCCCGTCGACTCGAAACCAGGGCCGTCCGGAGGTCTAGGACTTCGGTGTTCACTTCGGACAACATCGCTTTCAAGAATTCCACTTCGTTGACCAGGGCGTGACGATCTTACCACATGTCGTGGGGACAGCTCCCCAAGGTCGACGCCATCGACTTCCTGGAGGATGCTTAACGATCGTTCGTTTCGCTGAATGCTGTTGCGCAAGTCTACAATGACGTGGGAGAGCACGGTGTGCATGCGCAAGAAGGAATATGGCGAGGCGTGGGCACCCGACCCTGTGATCCATGTTTTGTGGCCTCCGGGACTGGTTGCGGAATGAAGCGACCTCGCTGCATACGCCTTTTCAGACTGCGGAATTCTTTCTGGGCCGCGGCGCTAACTGACCTATCTCGCCCAACGACCTTCTCCCAGACCCTGTGTGCTGATTGGTCCTTGTCGGAGCTTAGGACTTAAGCGGGGGAGAATGTCACGGGGTTGAAGGAAGCGACTTTCCAACGGCGTTTCCCGGTAATAGTCGTGTCCATTGTTACCGGATCATCATCCCACTCTACCTCTGGGACTAAATCTGGGTCGAACCCGTTACTCCCGGGGCCATCAACGGCCTGATCCCTGAACCTCGCAAGTGTTCTGATGACTCTTTGAACATCAGAAAGTTGCCTCAACTTAGATAGCTAACCTTGACTTTCACTTTTGCCTTACTCTACACGCTTGTGTCTTGTGTTTCGCTCACTCGCGCCGCGCCTACCTTCGTCAAATAGTCAGCAACCCCGTGACAATCGTCAGCAACCCCGTGACAGACACGCGGCACGATCTTCTGATCGATGCATGCCGCCAGAGGCATTAGGAAAAGCTACCGCCAACTTCCACATGCCGCGAGTAAGCGAGATACTCATAAATTCGCGCCGCTCGCGCTTGGTTCTACCCTTGTACACAGGGGCTAGCGGTACTTGCTGCACACATGAGTTTCTCCACGCGGCTCGTCGTCGCTTCGCCAACGACTCTCGGTCGCTGATTGGCTCCTTCGGCGAATAATCCCCAACGTTCGCTGTCACGTCGGACTTTCTTGCTGAGCTCTTCTACCGTGTAGTGCTGCTGCCGCATCGCGTCCGACGCTTGTCGTAGCATCTCCTGATGCTCCGCCGTGGCCTTGGTCTGGTTTGCCATGACCCGCTTAAGTTCGTCTTGTTGCCGGACTAAGTCCTCTTGTTGCCGCAAAAGCGTGACTTGAACCGATTCTTCTCCATCGCCGCGGTCATAACGAGTTGACGGTTCGATTCTTCCTCCAACCATTTCGCCATGGCTTCTTGTTGCGCATTAAACTGAGCAAGCTATTCGTAGGTCATTTGATTGAACTGACTTGACGACGCTGCCGCACGCTCGACGCTTAGCATTATCAGCTCGTCCATCTCCGCCTGGTTCGGCGGAGGCAATGACACGGCCACTACGGTCATCATTGACCGTGTTCGCGCTACACGAGCCAGCGAGCTCGTGAATAGAAGACTTCCTTGTTCCATACTCATACGGCAAGTAGCAGGCAGCTACTAAAGAATTCGTTGTTGCGTCTCAACTTGACGGACCTTGCGAAGTCCGATCCAAAGGAAAATCACAAAGTGAATTCCCCCCAGTGGCAAGTAGTCACTGGGGCTTAACCCTAACTTAATCAGACAGCTGGTGGGATCGCACACAGGATATCCAACCTTATTGAACACTTGGGTACCTTCTTGGGAGGGGTTCAGGGGTACTGCGAATGGCAAAATAAGGCCGTGTTCGGACGCACCAAGAATCCCGTTATTTCGTGGATTCAGACCAGGCCTCCTTAATCGAGGCATTCTAAAAATCGACGCCTCAAATACCTCAATTAAAATCCAGTCGATGCCTGAATTAAGGAAACAACGTCTGCGGGCTCAGCAGAGTGATTCAAGCATCCCGATCTCTCCCGCCGTCGTTTTGTTCCATTCCCCGTTGATATTCCGCGCTCAACTCCATTCCAGCCCAAATGGAAGACCCAGTTTGGAGTGGAAGTCGCCGAGATCGACTTAAGCCCTCCAATCGATATCTCCTGCGTATGTCGGTTTTGCAGGTTTATCGACAGATCGACTCGCCAAGGCGCACTCCGCAAACGCGTCTCAACGACAAACTTTCAGTACTCGTCATTCCGTTCCGCACGGAGAACATCCGCAGGCATGTGGAGTTGAAACACATGGACGACTGGGCATTCTTTAACGCCATTTTGTCCAATGATAAGAGAACCTACCAGTAGAGCAGGTTGTCGCGGGTGGATACGGTACACACTGGGATTTATCGACCGGTATGGTTACGTTCAGGATTGGGGCCAACATCGTCGACGGAATCATCGACTCCTGAGTGTTCGATTCGGAAGACGAGATGCTGGCCTTGGATGCTGACGTCATCGACATCAACTTGGTGGAATTGCACGCCATCGAGCGGGCCAAAAAGGCGCGACGACGAAGATTTTTCTGACAACGACAACGAGTAATTCAGCAATAAAACTCGGGTTCGAGGCCTTTTCTGGCACATTTTGTAAAATGCCTCAATGAATATCTGTGGCGTACCTCAATTAAGCTAATTGAGCTAATTGAGGTATATACCTCATTTAAGGAGGCCTGATTCAGACTCTGGAATCCGATTTTTTGTGTTCGATTGACAAAAATATAAACCGGATTCTTGTGCAAGAATCCGGATTCTGGAAACCATCGATTTTGATGGTTTCTTGGAGGGATTGATTGGTATTCTGCTTGTCAGAAATAATTTGTATTAATATACTCGGAGTTTGGGGTTTCCGGGGTTTCGGGGTGTTTAATCTTTTCTCCGAGTACTGAAGTGATGGTTCTATCATACACTTTGGCTGGAATTCCAATTCCAGTGCCCAATCATGTGAAGGCACACTTTAGAGAACGCGCACATTAGTGACGATTTGTATGGATAAGGTTACTACTATTGGGCTAACTGCTATTAATATTTGGGGCACTAATAATAGTACTTCTCGGAGTACTACTGTATTAATACGTAGTATCTGCGGAAGCAGTGCTAACTGAAAGGTGGTACCAAGTGATCGGACCAGATTGAAGAGCTTCGACCTCTTTCTATACAGTAGTTGAGCGGCGTACAATTATAGAATGGACATACAGTAGTCGGTCACTATGTGAACCCGCTCGGATGTGTTCCTGATTTACTTCCGAGTTCTTGGAGTGTCTTGGGTATTTAGCAATGAAAGAACATACCTTTTTCTCGTAATAGATAATCCATGAGTTTATCAGCCCTCCTAACCAATTGACAAGTGTCTTAAGCAAAACGAGATACTACTGTAGTTGTATTGTCGATTTGCTGGGAATTTCCGGATATGGAGAGGTTCAAATCCCTACTTTCATAAACCACGCGACGGCTTTATCTGCGAGTTTGGCAGTTTCGCATTTGCGCGCCATTTCCAAACGCACGCCCTTCTGGCAGCTCGTCGATACCCATGAGCGCCATTGAGTCTGGTGTCTTCCACCGACATGCCAGCCCCAACATTATGATGCTATTCCTCTACGACTACTACTTCCTAGGGACGAAGAAGTCTTGTTTGGCAGTCATCTATGGTAAGGACGAGAAAACGATTCATTTCACTCCCACGACGCACCACCACGGTCGAACGTTACTAACCTGACAGCGGACGCGTTGCGCTGACCGACAGTCTCTTTGACCATAGGCTCAAGTGTGAGCTCGTACAACACCTCTGGTTGTAGGCTTGGATGTGGGCTTTGTGAGGATATCGTGTTCCTCGCGGGAGTGTCTGCAACGTCTATGGTGGTGTCCGCGTCAGGGATGGAAAAAATCATGATCCACGCGGACTCCGCGTGGATGTTGTGAAGTGAATTGCAGTGCGGCACGTTCTCTGATAGCCTGTTCTCTGAACTGAGTAGCCAATCATAGTCTAGAATTAATGGATTAGCCAATGGGCGAGGTTTGTGATAGGTTCAGTGGGCGAGATTCGATTCGACGGAATCTGGAATTCTGTACCACATCCGTAATAATTGCTGGACTAACTGTTGTCGAACAGCAGCGAATACTACCACAGTTGTATGCAAGTTTTGTTCAGTCAATTTATGTTCATTATTGGCGACCCTGGGCCTTCAATTCAGTCCATTTGGATTTGGGGCGTAGACACAATAACGTTAACCTTTAAAGTTCTCGTAATACGTAGTATTCTCGCTGAGGTAGTACAGCTGCATCATCCTCCAGGCGACCAACCTGCATCATATAAGTACTTCAGATAAACGCCTTCAGCTGACCACGGGACGAACACTGATAGGATACAACAATCACGACTGAAGGCGTGTGTAAAGACAAACGCTAATATTTGGCAATGGAAATGTATGGTGGCCGGCATACACCTCACTGTGGACTTGTCATCGTCTTATTTATTGTTAATTGAGTCTGTGTGCTAACCTGTACTTAACGTTAATAGGTCGTCCTCTATTTATTTCGACCTTCAGGTTTGAAGTTGTCGTCAATGGAGAAGAATGTTGTTCTGCATGGCGCTGCAGAAAGACCTATGAGCCTTTTTCGAGGTCGGCTCATGGTCTCATGATCGGTAAGGACACTAGTCTCCATTATGTGCAGCAGGCCGCCATTCGTCGTGCGGTTGTAGCCATTGTCGTGCGGTTGAAAGATGTGCATTGTTGGCGCATTTTCATTCGACGAAATGATTAGACTTAAAATAGACCAGAAAAAGTAATTCGTGGTAAGAGGCCTCAGTTTTCAATTTAATTTGGCCTCCGCAAGAGGTTCCCGTCCGGATAACGACGGGAGCGAAAACAAAGAATTCTTTAGCCTCATCGCCCGAAGTAATGAATGACTCTGACCACCAACGCTCGCAGTCCCCTGTTGACGGGATGGAGCGATCCCGATCCCGAGAAGCCGAACGCGGCCGTCCCGTGCGCGGTCAAGCCACTACTCCGTTCGTCTCTCCACGCCGGCGTAATCCACCAGCTGTTGATAAGCGGTTTCAACCAGATGGCTACGCCAACACCCCATTTACGGCGCCCACGCCGACCCCCGTGGCCGCCTCATTTGATCTCCCCGCGCCAGCTGCGATACCAACTGGCGCCACCGACCTGCCCCCTGTCCCCGATAACGATGACATGGGACAAGGCGACGAGCGCGGCTTCGTGTACAATGCGCCGGCGCTCGCTGACCCGCCCTCGTTCAATGGCTCGACCAAGTCGGAGCGGCGGACATTCATCCGCCAGTACAACAAGTACCCAGTACAACAAGTACCCAGTACAACAAGTACCTGGACCAAGTCAACGCCCTCCAGCTCAATGGCTCAAGACCCTTCGTCATGCCTGTGAGCGTGTGCATGGACGTCTTTACGAAGAAGCGTGTGGCGATGTGGGACATGGCCAACCGCGACTACCGTGGCGTTCACGGAGGCAGAGTGGGCCGCATGGTTTAGCAAGGCGTTTGAAGAGGAGCCTCAAGGCTTAGAAGTGCTCAAGAAGCGTTTGACCACGGAGATCCAGTTCGATACGAGAATCCTGGACGCCGACTCGCGCATTGGCAAGATGCTGGACAACCTGATGCGAGCTTTGGAGCGTGACGACCAAGCCTGGGTCTTGGACCAAGAAGGCAAGACAGTTGTCGACATCATGGTCAAGGTGATCAAGCCGCTTGGCCTGCAGAAGTCGGTCCAACGCCAGCTGGCCCTCCAACGCAACAAGCCGTTGAAGTCCAACGTGTACCTGCGCGTGCATACCTCCGGGTACCACTTGTATGCCCCGGTGGAAGACGAGAAGACTTCAGCACCGCCTGCGACGCAGCCGCAGCACCATCGCGGCCGTCCAAGCCTGGACGATCTGAAGGCAGCGTTGGCAGCAGCAGTTGACCTCCCCGGCGTGCCCCAGCCCCCGAGCAAGACAGCGCGAAGTACGAACGCAAGAAGGAGACATGTCTCAAATGCGGCAGCGAGAACCACAAGGTGGTAAACTGCCCCAAGTGCGCACCGGGCAAATCCGAGCGCCTGCTCAAGGAGCAAATGGACAAGGGGCAGAGCGCGCGCCAACAGGAAAGTGACCAAGCTTCAAGGCAGCGCGAACAAGTCCCTCGGTCGCGAAGCCAAGATCGAAGGCATCGTGTCCGTCACGACGACCCTCCTCGACACCGGCTCCGACATTACATTGGTAACAGGCGGTGTCATGAAGTCCCTGGAGCGAGCCGACGTGGAAGTCAAGGTGATTTCGCCGGAGCCATCCGTGATCCAGCCGTATGGCCAAGCACCTGCCCTCAAGGTCGACCGCCAAGTGCAGTTCAAGTTGGTCACCCTGGACACCCCCTGTGGACCTTTGGCCCTGCGTGGACCCAAGGCCTGGGTGGACTCTTCCTCCAACGCGGCAGAGCTCCTGATCAGCCGGGCGGTGATGGAACGGCTGGGCTTCTCCGAAGACGAGTTGCTCAGCCACGCCTTTGCCAAGCAAGAAGTGTGGGATGTCAGCACACGTGGACAAGCCGTCTGCGATGGCAAGTGTCAGCCGCCTGACTCAAGTGGCCGCCTCAAGCAACGAGTGCGGTGATGACGGCATGCACTGTGCCACCCCCAACATCCAAGTCCCATCTACTGGAGACGCAGAAGGCGAGCGGAACAGGCGGCGAGCGGTAGTTGAAGCGGTGATCCAAGAAAAGCTCCGTGCCGCCGAAGACGAAGGCTTGACCGCGACCCTCCTCGAGAAGCTGCGACTCCTCCTGGCCAAGCACGGTGATGTATTCCGCCTGGAGATCGGCCATGACGAGCCGATCAACGTGGAGCCGCTGCAGGTGCGCATCAAGCCTGGCGCCGTCCCTGTTAAGTGTGGCCTACGACGATACGCCCCCAGCGCATGTGGAGTTCCTGAAGACACATGTGCGCGAGCTTTAAGCAGAGGGCCTGGTGTACCGAAACAACCGCGCAACATGGGCCTCGGCGCCGCGCTTCATCCCCAAGAAAGACCCTGGCGACTTGCGCATGACCATCGACAGCTGGCCCATCAACGCGTGCACGGAGCCTATGCCATGGCCAATGCCGAACCTCGACGCCGCCCTGACTGTCTTAGTGGGCGCGCGGGCGTTCTTGACCCTCGACTAGTTCAAGGGCTACTGGCAGCTGGCGCTCCATGAAGACTCCCAAATGTACTACTCCTTCATGACCCCCTTTGGAGTGTACACGCCCACAAGAGTGCTTATGGGCCAGACCGACGCGGTGGCATTCTGTCAGTCGGCGGTGGACTTCATGTTTGCCGACTTACTGTTCAAGGGACTCCTAGCCTGGCTCGACGACATGCTTGGCTACGCCGAGAACTCCAAAGACCTCCTCGACCAAGTCCTCACGATCTGCTCCTCCTTCGGCCTGAAGCTCAACCCGAAGAAATGCGACTTCTTCCTGACCAAGGCCATCTGGTGCGGTAAAGTCGTTTCAACTGAAGGCGCCCAGCACTCCCCCACAAGAATCCAAGGACTGTGTGCGCTCGCGTCGCCCGCCATGGCCGCCGACATCCAACAGTTCGTGTGCGCGACCAACTGGATACGGTCCAGCATCCCCTGCTACACTGAGCTTGTGGCGCCGTTGAGCGGCAACTTGAGTTGCAAAATCCCGCGTTTCATGAAGGAGCTGACCGCTGACCAGCGACATGCTGTCGTAGACCACCTCCTCGTACGTGTTGTACAGCAGCCGTGCAAGCTGCAGTGTGGGGCCATACTTGGGAAGTGTCTCGCATCTTTGGGCGCAACCCACGAACTATTGGCAAGATTTGGCAACGTGCCAACGTGTCGCTGGGTGGCGACAACTTGCCCATCCGCGAAATGGTATGTGAGCACACTGCCAGCATGAAAAAAGGTCGCGTCGGGCGCAAACAAAAGTACACCGACCTTCCAGAGCGTATAGGCGCTGTGCCAGCGTCGCAGAGTACAACAATCGCGTACGTTGCCCATGCCATCGGAATACCACCGAGTACACTCAAAGACTTCTACAAACGTGGACTTATGGTAAAGTACAACTCTAACGTCAAGCCCAAGTTGACCGATGTCAACAAGACTGCCCGCGTCAAATGGACCGTCGAATTCGTGGAGCCCACGTACGCGTTCTACGACATGTACGACTACGTACACGTAGATAAGAAGTGGTTTCACGCCACGCGAATCCGTTCCCGGCATTACCTGCTGCCTGGAGAGGACCCCCCGCATCGGTCGACCCAAAGCAAGCGATTCATCACCAAGGTGATGTTCTTGTCGGCAGTAGCGCGGCCTAGATGGGACAACGCCAAGTCAGAATGGTTCGATGGCAAGATTGGCACGTGGCACTTCACCCAGCATGTTCGGGTAACAAGTTCGTCGAGAAACCGTCCGGTCGGCACAATAGAGCTGCGGCCTGTCAACGTGACGCACCCTGTGTACAAGAAGATGCTCATCGACAACGTCATACCTGCAATCAAGGCTCTTTGGCCGGCGGAGTGTTCGAGGACCGTATTCATCCAGCAGGACAATGCACACCCGCACGTTCCACCTAGCGACGCCGATATTGTCAAGGCCTGTACGTCTGATGGGTGGGTCATGAAGTTGAAGTTTCGCCGGACTTGAACGTCTTGGATCTTGGTTTCTTCCGTGTCATTCAAGCGCTACAGCAGACGCACCACTCGAACACCTACGGGAGGATATCGTGAGTGCGACGAACAACGCGTGGAAGGACGTGGACCCATGGGCTTTGGAATGCAACTTTCTGACGCTGCAATCATGCTTGCGTGAGGTCATCGGCTGCACCGGCGGGAACTCCAAGATTCCGCACATGAAGAAGGCTGCTTTGTAGAAGTGTGGCCGTCTACCCGAGTCTGTCTTCTGCGGCAAAGAGATCTACGACGATGGTTGCACTCTGCTGGGCCAGCATGACCTGAGCAGCGTCATGCTTGAGCTATCTCTGCAGACAGCCCGCGACTTGGAAATGAGCGACATATTCACAGCATTGGAAACGCTTGACATGGATGACCAGGATGAATAAAGAATGTATGTTTTGGATGAAATATTAAATTTATATGAGTCTTTGTATCGAAATGCAATATTATATTACTTTGATCTTCATATGGCTGAGCATTTATATTTATAATATTTCAAGGGTCTCTGCTAACACACTTCTATTTACGTCCTTGGCTGATTTTGAAAAGGTACTTCTATTTCCGTCTGGAGGTAGTACTACTTCGAAGCACGTAGTAGTACCGTACTCATTCATAGTGGGGTGGAGTAACTGTTAATAATTTAAAATGTTCCGTCGAGTAGTGACAAAACAATACTAGTATGGTGCACATCATCGAAAAACTTCCAACTGGCCAAATCGACGAGTGGAGGTTTTATTATTTAACGAACAATTAATGTAGTTAACTAAATACGTTAAATACCGAGTTCATGCGTTTTATCACTTCAGTGGGAGGTTAAAGGCCCCAACTGTCTCCGGATATTATATACGGATAAGAGTCACATCCAAAAATCAAGATTCATCTCAGCTGCATATTGTGCCATCCCTATGGCACAATATCCAAGCGCCCATGTAAAATACCGCTACGTTAAATATCTATTTCTGGACCAATTCATCACCAAATTTGAATCTGAGACGTAGAATTTCTTCACCCTGTCGATTCTATGTCTCAATTTGCTGAAAATTTGAGTAATGAATATGAAATAGAAGTCAGAATAATTTTTTGAAAATTTGGTAGTTTATAGATGACGTACACCATAGTAGGAAAAAAGTTTACACCGTAATTTGTGTGAATACAAATTTCAAGATAACCATGCATATAAAACGCGTTATATCCAGGCTAGAAGTCAACGCAAAATGGTGTAGTATACAAACTTCAGGATGTTTAATGCGTACCATCATCTGAGCTTGAAGTCTTTTGACAATACATGGTCAAACGACTTCGTGATGCGTTCGTTGTGCGAAAGTCGCGCCAAGATGACGCGATGGACTGCGTACGCGGCAGAAGAAACGCCGAGCCGTGCGCATGCTTGTCCAGATCAGTGGCGAGGTCAGCGACCACGGAAGTACCGACGGCATGATAGTACCTCCAAACGACAATGTGTGGCTACGACATTTCTTATATACTGTATGTAGAAATATACTATTATAGAAGCAGTAATAGTACTGGTAGTATTTTTTAGTAATAACAGGTTTAATTACAATATTATTTATAATGTATACTTGTGTGTGATAGATACACACGCTCACAAGCTTAATACTATTCAATTAGACCTCTTGTTCAGTGTTATTGTCCTTTTACCCAAAATTGGGACTTTTGAGCTTATTCGCCAAATCTATTGAACGATTCTTTGTACTGACTGTGAAATTTGTATTGACGTGGATGATGTTTTCCTGCAATCTGATTGGCTAAATCCTTCTGCAGATGATTCTGTACATTTGGTTGTGTCGATTCATTTCACTGAACAAGAGGTCTAGTGAACAAGAGGTCTATCTATTGAAACTTCGTCACTGAACAAGTGGTCTAATCCCCATGTCGCTCCAGTTTAGAATAAACACAATAACGTTACAAGTACAATTAATAAGTAGTACAGTACAAGTATTGTGCTTTGTACCTTTTTTGGCACTTCCAGGGTTAAATTCATTGTTTAAAAATTTCTCAGGCTTAAATAACGTCTTAAGTAACTTGAATAACGGTTGGTGGGTGCGTTGTTTAAATTACTTCATCTAATGCTTTGATTGGTTGGTTGAAGGTGGTTTTACAGACACTTTCGTAAAACAAGGTGTTTGCCGTATTCATTCTGGCAAACAACTTGCTTTACGTCAAGGTGCTTGCCGCAATGAAACTGAAGCTGCTACATATGACCACATACATGACCTGCCTCCCATCCGTGATCACTACAAACATTAACTACTCCGAGATATAATTTTTAACGCTAGGGCTAGTCGTCGCACTGTCCAATGATTCAAACCTATGCCATACATACAACACTTTGATCTGCTCTAACCTTAGCACTGTACGTGGAAGCAAGGGCGCACTGCAACTACACGATGTATAGTACTCCCATTTCACAGCCTAATACGGTATGCATCATGATGAACTGGTGGTTGAACTGCGTAAGTTGGCCTGGTGCTGCAACTCGATTAGTTAGCAGCTGAAATAAAGTAAGGGTTGTATTGTTCTGCTGAAATGCAGAATGTGGGTTTAGCGTTGTTTTATCTTCAATCGAGCTTACGTTATTTTAAACCTCTGGTTGTTTAACGCAGTTAAACAACGGGCAAACTACATGAAAAGTACAATATTCGAAACAAGAGTACATACAGTACGTAATTATGTCAGATCATTTTCATTGGATGATTGTAATTGGACATTTGCTGGCCAGGAAATTGCTGCTGGCCGGGAATTAATCCGGGTAGGATGGACGAGATTTCCCATTTAAGACTTTTGGATACAGTACTATGTTTAATACTTAGTATAATACAATCGTTGACTGTGAATTATTGCATGGATGACATTTGGATGAAGTTGGATCAAACCTAAAGCAGTGACCAAGCCTTCCGTTAGCCCTGAAATCCCACGCAAGTGCGGATCTACTGTAATAACTTCCCCGAATGCATAAAAATACTACGTAACGTTAGTTAATTTTATGGATTTCTAAAATCCGTGAAAGTATCATGTCTTATCCAACAGCATCCAAACGTCAACCAACCTTAATATTAGGATTAGGATCATGCTACACCAATGGATTCGAAGTCTACGCACATATTTAAACTTATACAAACCATATTATACAAAGATTAGGATATATGTGGTTTTGAGGGGCTTGGCCCAATCAAATGATTGGATTGGCAGAAACTCGACACGACGTGATTTGATTGACTTAGGCGGTTCTTCAATCCATTCTCTTATTAATACTACTTGTAGTATTGATTGTGCAATTCACCCAAATTTCAATTCTCCAAATAGCTTTGGAATCCATCTGATATTATTTCAGCTTGTACAAACTATAGTTTGTACAAGCTATACTATAAAACGACTAGTATATACATGGTTTTGCCCAATGCGGAGAAACTGGCATAGATAGTTCTTGAATCATCCATTCTCTCAAGACATGCGATTCTACAGACAGCTCCGAATCGATTTGACTATAACCCCGAAATCGATTCGACTATATATTTTTACAGAAGCACACGACTCGATGATTTGCGTCTACTGCGACACCGTTTCTTTCTTTGTTGGGTCGGGGGTCTCGGCGCCCTCGAAGTCCCCAGAGGCGGGGGAGTTGACCATGTAAATCCGGACCGACAGGTACGCCCCCACGATTCCAACGGTTGCGAGGACCCAGTTGACGATGACGTTGGCTACAGGGGTGATGGGGATGCCCCCCAGACGCCACGCCACGGCCGCCATGCCCGACTGGACGGCCTTGTAGTAGCCGGCATACCGGCCCAGGGTCGCCATGTTGTCGGAGAACTGACCCATGAGCCAATACGCCCAGATCTGGCAGATCGAGTCGTTGAATCCGTAGAAAAAGTAGAGCAGAAACTTGATCACGAACGGGCCGTCGGTCAAGTCTAGGTTCTTCTTCTTGTCCTTCAGGCCCAAGTCCAAGTCGAGCTGCGCGTACAGCCCGACGCCCCACATGATAAAGATGAGCACAGTCAAGACGAGGATGGACTGCAGCGCTTTGGCCTTTTTGTTGCCGGGGCGGTCCAGGTACACGCCGATGACGTACGCCCCAAGCATCTGGGCGCCCCAGTAGAACGCCGACGCAAACCCGCCCGTGCGACTGTTGAAAATGGACGAGTTGAAGAACGTGTGGTAGTTGTAAAACCAGTTGGAGTAGGCAAAGAGGGGGAAGAGGAGGAGCATCTTGGGGTCCAGGAACAGCTTGAACGTTTCGAGAACTTCAGTCGCGGGGTTGGGCAAGTGCTCCACTGTCACCCTCGACCCGTCGTTGCGCACGACATTGTCTGGATTGGCCAGAAACAAAGCCGAGAACGCACCCAGTGACATGAGCACGAGAAACACAACGTATGTGGCTGTGGAAGCTGACACGCCACCGTTGTTGTCAAAGTTGGTTCCGAACGTAATGAGTCCCCCCAAGGTTCCCCCGAGGTTGAAGATGATCCAAAAGTAGGAAAAGTATGTGCCCTTGGTCTCCACGGTCGGGTACGCCATGCACATTTGGCCTTGGGCAGTCCAGAGGAATCCCGCGCACACGCCCAGAATCGCATTAGCCGCATAAAAGAAGTTGGTCGCGCCGTCCGAGTACGTCTTTGTGTCGACGTCCAAGTTCTTGTCCATGACGAGCAACGAAGACGAATACATAACGTAGCCCCACGTCCCGATAAACAGAGTCCACTTGGGCCCGATCACGTTGACAATACCCCCCGCGAACAGCCCGGCCACGGAAAAGCAAGCGTACAGGACCGCCGTGGCGTTGTACGCGATGGTTTCGTCAGACACGCCTGCGGCCACAGAGCTGAGGGCGTTGAACAGGCCAGGGCAGCAGAAACAAGTGAACGACACGAGCAGCACCTGCGACAGCGCCGATGGATGATGTCCAAACAATACCATTGTTGACTTGTGGACGGAAGAAACAAGTGAGTAGACGACGGCAAAGTGCACAATGAACTATCCATCCATGTCGTCCACAAAACGACTAGGTTGAAGTTGCGCCGATAAAAAAAATGAGTGTTCGATTCTTGTCCAAGCGTCGTAACGTAGATACATTTCTGGATACAAGGGTATCTTTGGTCGCGTGACTTGGAATATTCGCAATCACATTGATGACCACGAGTACATACTCAACACCAGTAGTAACTTACTTCCAGATCGATGTCTACATACATACAATGTGCGTCTGTATATATATATATATATACTCTTCAAAGGACACATTGTGAGTGAAATCGCTCTGTACATCGATAGTTTAGCCCAAGGCGAATCGACGACGAATAGAAGCCAATCGCCGAAATTCGCCAAATGTCCCAAATTGGACCAGAGAAGTTCATATACTTACCCGAAAAGCGACAAGTATACGCTTTATCCGGTAGTAGCATGAACACTTTCGCAGACTTTCGCAGGTTATTTCGGCTAACGTTATGGTAGTATAGCAGCCAAACCTCTAACAGTGTAACACAGTGAAATAAACCTCTAGCACCTTATCGTCTCAGGCTTCACACTATTAATAGCTTGCCATGACGAGTCGAAAACTGATGTCACTGGAAAAGTTTGTTGACTGTATGAGACCCTGAGACAATCATTACAATGCTTGTATGAGTTAAGAATCGGGCACGAACTGAGAGCATACAGTACTAATCTTATACTATGAATAGTACATCACTGTTACCTATCATCGAGGCAAGAGAAGATCGGAAGTACCAGGAGTTTGAAGTTGAAGATGGTTTGCATATGCTTTGAACTACATGTGCTATATCATGGCAAGTTCAACCGTATTCAACCAGGTGGTGCACGACTTTCAAGTGTCCATTTTTCTGTGCATGTTTCAAAAGAAACAGTGGTCATATACTATTTATAGTTTCTACTCATAGTGGTAGTTAGTTTCATACTCGGAGTAACTACTACGTAGTGTACATTATGACCAAGTGGTTGATTCATCATTACTAGTAACAAGATATCGGCACATTTACAGTCACGGATGAATAAACTGACCAAGTGGTTGATTCATCATTACTAGTAACAAGATATCGGCACATTTACAGTCACGGATGAATAAACTGTATTATCAATTACAGAATGTCAAGTTATGGCCTGATAGATCAGAAGTTACGGGCAAAAGAACCTACACTATTTTTCCTTTAAGTTCAGGATATTTCTGGTATATTTTCGTCTGCCGCAATCTGTTTCACGCCATGTCCCATTATGTTCGCCAAGCATTCGATATAGTTCGACCAGGCTGCAGTATATTTCGTCTAATAATGTCCAGTTTTAGATGCATTTTCATATAAATCAATAAATGTATTTACAGTCAATATATTTATTCACGGTATTAGACTAGTTCAAAACGCTATCTACCATCTGCGATTTATTTGATGTGCATCTATATGGAACATGAACAACCTAGTATGAAATATACCGGATCTGTGGTGACATATCAGGGGGACATTTGTCGAAATATCCTGCAACAATGTACACTCTGGACGAAATATAACGAATGCTTAGCTGTGCATGGGACGAAATAAACCGAAAATATCCTGAACTCATAGGAAAAATGGTGTAGTAATAACGCAGTTTAACCGAATAATGTGCCGCGGTCGGAGATTTGAGCATATGGTGAAATAGACGGAGAGAAATGATCAATGTGGTGAACTACTTACTGTATACAACGTTCTCAGCGACTGAAAAGAAATGAAGTAAGCAGTTATGACCAAACATCAGCTTTACCATCAGCAACTGAACGTACTGTATCAGTTGACCTCTTGTTCATTTCCAACTACTTTCAATTTACTGTTACTAAGATCCAGGTAGAAACGTTGGAAATGACTAACACTAAGAAGCAGGTAGAAACGTTGACCAAGAGGTCTGTCTATATGTATGCTAAAGTACTGTCGGTGGCTACTCGTAACTGTACTACTACCTCTGATGGCGACTGATATGAAAAACAGAACTTCCTCAACTAGTTACTCCGATTGGCCTGTAAATTGGTGGAGGTGAAAGAGCATTCTCGTCGAATTAGCCAGTGAATTCTATATGTCAAACTTCGCCGAAACGGCCAAATTCAATACAAAAGTCAAGTTGATATTTTCCGACGGACCATATTTTGGCAATTGCCATGGCAATCATAGGACAACTTGTACTACATGTTGATTTTCAGATTCAAAATTCGACATCGTATACTGAAATCAAGATCGAGAATGCTGCCGAATTTACTGTGAAAAAATCAACCTTGGACAGAGGTATTACAGTAATACTTGAAGTAGGTAGTATGGACAACTTTATCAGTGTATATGTCTCTACGAATAAGAAGTATTAATAGTACTGTATAACCCCAACTCGCCTCGTTATGCCTACGGAAATGTACTATTAGTACTAGTACTACTAGTACTACTAACTACTACTAGTACTACGCAAGCAGCATGGCAGCACTGGTTGTATGGTTGTCGGGCACGACAAACAGTGTCACACGTTGGTCCGTCGCTCGAAACGTCTCGTTCGAGTCCACGTGCACGACTTTAACCTTGGGCAATGTCAAGTGACCTACATTCTCATCTATGAAACCCCGAACCCCCAGAACCCCGAAACCCCCGCGTACATACCTGGGTGCAACGGCACGAGTCCAATGGTCACACTAATTGTTTCCATGGGGAGCACTTGAACGTTGTGGCCATCGACGACGCCCGCGACAAGAAACTCGGATGAGTCAGACGCAATCTGGACGTCCACAATATACCCTGAAATAGTGTGATTTGTGAGTCGCACGTGAACCCATGTCACATGGCCTTGGGTCCCGAACACTGGCATGTCGTCTATCTTGACACTGAGCGGCGCCGGTTGAAATGCCATGGATGGCAGCGCCAGCTCCGTCGTGACCACATGTTCTGGATGATCGAGGGATGACCAGTGGACGAGAACATGCGCGAGAATATGTGACACTGTGACCTCTCGAGGGGTCACGTGCAGCACCAGACTGTGCGCGTCCCCCGCGCCCAGTGTCGCACATTCGTCGTCGTTTCCAGATTGAACAATTGTGGCGTACGGTGTCACATGTGTCAACGCGAGCTTGTGGACTCGGAGCGGCGCGACCGCCGCCTTGACGTGCGCGACCAGCATAAACCCACTCCCATTGACCGTCGCCACGCCATCTGTCTTTGCTGTCGACAGTGTCACAGGCAGCACCGCGTGCACCGTGAACGGTATATCGATCTGGACATACTCTCCCCTTGTAGTTTCATACGCGACGTGCACAGATACAAGTACGGGGCCAGGGCTGTGACACGTCACAACGACTTGAAAGCGCTGGTCGGACTGAGCCAGCTGCGGGGATATGAGCTGATCCTGCGATACAGGGCCAAGCACGGTAGCACATGATTGGTCGTCAATGGTGACGGCGCAGCGCGGGTGGTGCACGTGGTCGGTCGATGGGGCATGCAGAACAAACTCCAAACATGTGACACCGTCGACGAGTACTGGGCTCGTCGAGATCAAGTCGACGGTCGCCTTGTCGACTTGGTGAAACAAAGAATCCGGATACGTATCCGCGCCGTGTCGCAGATTCGCCCTTTGAAACGACGGCGACCCCGCGCCTTGGCCCATGCCAGGCACGCGTCCGTTGATTTCTGGCAGCAAAAAACTGTTGCGCCGCACCAATCTGTGACGTGGTTGCGCCGCAAATGGCCCCGCCAACGTCCACGTCCACGGCACATGATGGCGATTCCGCAGCCCAAATCGAACTTGTTGGCATGCGACGACGCCGTTGCCAGAAAACGGTGTCACAGGCACTTGAAACGTTCGGGGGGTGTGCGGCGACAGCAACAGGTCGGCTGTCGTCTCGTGCTGCAGTTCAACCACACATGGAGCTCCTCCATCTTGAGTGAATACAAACCCAAGGGTATAAAAGGCCACATCCACGGGCAAACTCGACTCGAACGTAGCCACCAATGCACTGTTTGTACAGTGAATGGCTACCGAGATCAGCGATGCCGTGAGCCGCCCGTCGTCGAGGCTCAACTCGGGTAGCGAAGTCATCTGCGACGAGGTTACGTGGTCGAATGCGACAAACAAGTTGGCGTGCACTGTATCGCGGACACGCGCCGATACATAGGGCTCGAGTTTCGGACTGAGAAGTTGCATCGATAGGTCTAGAAACGCCGCCGTGTCACGTTCTTGGCGCGCGCATGTGACAAGGTGGCCGAGGATTTCGCTCACTAGACCATACCAGCGCTCTTGGATGTATACTGTGCACGCGAGTTGTAGGCGTTGGCGTGCGACAGAGTATTCGCGGTTCGCGAGGTGTTCGAGCGCTAGCCGAAGCCCTAGGCGGTGTTTCAAACGGTGTCGATGATGGGCCACATCATCTGTGACGTGGTGCAAAGCTTGGGTGAGCAGGTGGATGGCCAGGGCGGCGTGCGGGATGGACGTTTCCGCCACCCTTTGATTGGCCATCCCAAGGTACATGGAACGAGATATATCTGCTGCTGGTGGAGTAGCTACTGGTGGCTGGTGGTGGTTTGGGTCGTAGCTCAAGCCCGCTTTGGCCGCGGCGAGGCGGCGCCGTGTCGCATATTTCGCCGCCACGGAAAAGTACAGATACACTTCGTTGTACAAATCCGAGTCGATGGGGTTCGCGGCGGCGGTAGGCGGCGGGAGGCCGCCCCGCCGCTGCGCCTCGACCATGAGCTGCCCAAACACATGGTATTGCCGACTCATGTACCCCCAGTGCATGCATATATCGTGATTCGGAGAAATCTGCGACACAGGGGACGCCATGTGACGATGGAGCTGGTCCACGGCGGTTTTAAGCTGGCGATTGGTCAAGAGGGCGTGGTACACGAGCTTAAAGTGCACGAACTCGGCCACCGCCCGCACTTGAGTCTGGACTTCAACAGAAGAAGACGATTCGGCCATGTGCAAAAGGCTCTTGTATGCCGCTTCGTAATGCAAAACCATCTTGGACATGTGCTGCCTGAACTCGTAATAGTGCGCGACCTTGAAGCTGTGCCGCGCGGCCATGAGCTTGGACGGGTTCTTCGCCTTCTTCACGCGCTTCGCCTGGGCCTTGTAGTACTCGATCGCGTTCATGCGGATCGCGGCCTCGAGCTTGATGAGCGTCGGATGGGTCCGGGACACGATGTCCTTGAGCAGCCACACGCTCTTGGCGTCGAGCTCGGCGCGCTTGCGCAGGCTCTGGAGCCGGTCGTCGCTGCTGGGAACGTTCACCATGCTAGAAGACGTGGAAGGGGATGCAGTGGTGGTGGCAGCGTCGTCCAGAAGCTGCACGAGCACAAGCAAGATCTTGACGTCGCGACCCGACAGCATCCGCCGCAGATCCTCCACTTCGTCGCGGATCACCGTTTCCTGGATTGCCCAGTCCCGCGTCGCCAACCGAGGCTCGAACGCGTACAAGAGGAGCACGACCGACGGAAGCACTTCGTGATGTTTCTTGAGCCAGTCGGTTTTCCAAATGCCCTTGCTAGGAGGCGGGGACAACGACGTCGACTTGTCCTTCTTGATGGGAAACACAAACCGGTGGTCAAAGCTTAGGGACTTGATCTGGAGCTGCGGCACGAACTCCTCGTTGATCGACCGAAGCACCGGCAGCACTCGCGCCTGGAGGTCCTTGGGGCCCAACGCCGCCACTAGCGGGCGCGGCACCTCCTTCAGTTCCACCGGGTACGCTTCCATCTTATTGACGACGTGGAGGAAATACTTGGAGCGTTATCCGGATATCATTATCCGGGGAGGGGGCAAAATGTATCCGGATGATACGGATACGAAGAGAATTCTGCATAATGCAAGATGAAACAACGGCGCTTCCTGGCAGTGGCCGCCTTGACGGGTGTCATGGGCGTCGTCATGGCCGACGGAGGTTCGAGCGCCGTGGGCTATGCGAGATGCATGAAGGATAGCAGCTGCATGCCCCTCAATGAGATCCCAGCATGGTGGGTGTGCATGCAAGGCCAAGCGGTCGAGTACTTGATCCTCGCCGGCGCGATGATCTTCTTTGCGACGTTCCTTCCTCGTGTCACACTGAGCTTCATGCTGTTCATCCTGGGCAAGTTTCCCTTTGTCCGCGAGTACGTGCATCCCTCTCTTGAGCTTGTTCCTGACTAATCTACCCTTAGAATCGTGGACGACTACGTCAAGTTCTGCACGACATCCACGACGTACCTTCTGAGCGCGACACTGTGCATGGGGGCCGCCATCGTGGGTCTGCTGTCGCCATACCTATGCCGCTTCCACATCTACATCTGGGGCATCTTCTTCCTCATGTGGATCTACTCGGTGTTCAACGTCATCGATCGGGTGCCGTACCTCCCTCCATCCCTTCCTCGTAGCTTACTCTCACAAACTCACTCTTCCATAGCTCGCGATCCGACGGTTCGGCGGAAAAGCTGCCGACAACTCGAAGAAAGTCGTCATCTCCGAGTCGATCAAGGTACGTCCTGTCGTCATATCTCCCGCGTCATTTCAGGATTTTGCTCGGGTAGTTGCTCCGTCTGTTGGTGCTGGTGATCGTGTCCATGTACATTTACTTGCAAATGTGGCAAGATCAGTCGTTGTTAAAGTATTCGTTTCTGGGGATGCTGGGCGGCGCGATCGCGCTGGGATTTGCGGGCGCGGTACGTACGGACGAGACGTTTGTTTCTCCGAAACGAACCCAGCATTGCTTATTAGACACACAACGCCGTGGGGGGATTGTACCTCGTTCTGAACGCCCCATTCCGAGTGGACGAGTTCATCCAAGTCGGCGCCGTCCACGGCCATGTCCAGCGCGTGGCGCTGCGGTTCACTGTCATCTTGACACTGGACAGCACGAATGTGTTTGTTCCGAACAGTTTCTTTCTGTATAAACCCATGGTACATCAAGGTGTTTTGAACGCGTTTGAAACGCATTCGAAACAACATTAGGTGAATTACTCGCAGCGCCCGAAGCGGCAGGTGACGCTGGACATCCATGTGCACCCGCATACGTCGGTCGCGCTGTTGGAGACGCTGCTGCACGAGTTGCACGTGATGGTACAATGCAACAAGAATGTCTGCCTCGTTTGCTCAGCAACGGTATGGGTTTGCATTAGCTGCAATCCCGACACATGGGGTTGACGTCCCATGAAGATTACAGCGGCCCTGCGGACAACGAGGCCAAGTTCTTCTTTGTGACGATGGAAGCGTTGTACTGCGTTCGCCTGTACACGTACACGGATGAACTGGACGCGAAGAAGCATGCGATGATCAAGTCGGAGGTGTGGCTGGCAGCCATGGAGATCCTCGAGGAGCTGGGAATCCAGGTCGTGATGAAGGACCACGAAGACTCGAGACGAAGGACGACGGGCGGCGGCGGCAACGCCGACAACAACCATGCCGCCGAGTTTGGGTTTGCGTACTAGATAAACCAAGGCATGTGTGTGTCTGTGCATGGGTTGCTTGTTCCTGGGCAAGTTTCTCGCACGTTTCCCACCGCCTGGACATGACGCTTCAGAACTTAGGCATAGGTTCTGATGGATGAGATATTTTGATTGGATAAAATGAATGGCATTTCTAGCATGTGATTGGTGCTTTTATTGATACACGTCGTGGATTGGTTGAAATGACCGAGTGACGGTACCAACATTGTGTTCCCCAACTCGACAGCATTCTGCAATCTTGCGCCAAACCCATCATCTGTACAGACAGTCGAGCGTGGAGATTGATGGCACTGCCGACAGCATACGACTTCTCTTGGCGATGGAGTCGTCGCCGACGTCGTCACCGGCGTCCAAGGACAACGACGCTGGGGGGTTGTGGACTGAGGTCAAGGTCGTGGACGACATCACCGTGTTCCGCGGCGTCGTGCCGGGTTGCTACAGTAGTGGAATGCGGTCAAGACCACAGGCATCATTCCATCATGCAGCGCATCCTTCCTAGCGTCAAAGCTGCTCGATGACGCGGAAATGCCGCGATTTGACAAGATGGTTCGCGCACGTGTCTGTCCTCTCAGGTGCAACGTCCCGGGCAACTTGCCCAGCAAGGACAGTTCGACACGTGCAACTCAAGCCCGTGCTCGTCACCAAAGCCAGGGATTTAGTGGTAACGACGACAACCACCAACATGCAACAATCGTCGGCCGTCGACGGAAGGAACGATGATGCGACCACGATTGTCATCGCGTCCAGGTCCACTTCCACGTGGCCCGCCGCTCCGAGCCACTCGTTTGTGCGAGGGGTGAACCACCTGCCGGGGTACATCCTCCGTCCGGTGGTCGTGGTCGTAGGGACCCAAGCTTCATGAGTCGGCTGCCACGTCACGCTCATCGCGCACGTCGACCCTGGCGGGTTGTTGCCGCCGAGGGTGGTGAATTATTTGGCGGTGGACGCTCCTTGGAAGTTGCTGCGGCGTTTTCGAAAGTTGTACAGCAACGACGATCGTACCAACAGCAACAACATCCCTGGACACGCCCCTCGTCGCGAATATGGACATGGACGACTCGCATGATCGAGTGTCTACTCGTCAACCATTCCAAGCCACATCACTCTTCCATCATCTCGTTCATCTTCCGATTCATTCGCTGACAAAAGCATCGCCATGCTGCTAGACATGGACACGGCCATGTGGACGCATGTCAAGACCGCGTCCGGCGGCATCGCCGTGTCTCGGAGCATCGTGCCCGTGCAACGTGCACCGTTCTACAGCAACGGGCCAACATACATGACACATCTGTACGGCACATCACCGCCAAACTCATGTATTTTGTCGTGCTTACCACGTTACAAACGGTATTTCCGGACAGAGGTACTTAGTAGAAAGGGCCAGTAAAAAGGTACTAGTACTTCCTGACAGAGGTACTTAGTAGAAAGGGCCAGTAAAAAGGTACTTCCGGACAGAGACATAGTAGAAAGGGCCAGTAACAAGGTACTTCCGGACAGAGGTACTTAGTAGAAAGGGCCAGTAAAAAGTGCATGAATACTATCCACCTGATATCCCATGGGTATCCCATAGCAATTGCTATGGATAGCCCCATCATTCGCGAGCTTGTTTGGTCTCCGTAGTAGCCTACGATGAAAATTTAGTTTCTACATGTGTACTAGTATGCAAAACCCGGGGTAACCTACTTCAGACAGAGGGACCAGTATTAAAAGTTAGAGGTGTTAGACGTCTGACACACTCCGACACGCAAGTCATCTAAAACTACAGATCGGCCATCCTCAGGAGGAGACGTTTTACTATTAAACGCCTCGGTTCTTTCAGTTAAACCCACGAAATGTTGACGTTAAATCATTATTGGCTACGTTTTTACCTGATAATTAGGTTAAACATTGTGAATAATCCGGATACAATCGAAACGTTCGTACGGATAAGTGCTATATACAAACACCAAGATATACTTGATATCCCTTTTCGGCCAAAATGTTTGGTTTGTGCTCAATCTTTAAATTTAATAGATATAGTTTTAAGTCAACAAAAAATTAACCTGGTTCCATATATCTCCGTACAAAAAGGCCGGTTGGTTTAAATTCTACTACGTAGTATTACTCGATCAATTTTTCACCAATCGAAAATCTGAACCGTAACTTCTGTTGGGCTTGTCCAGTTCTATCGTTATTACGGTATATTTTCCTAAATAATATCAATACAAAGTTGGAATAGTGTAGCTGTCGAAAGTCAAGGCATTTATTTGTAGTCTTTAGGTGA